GTGGGATTTTGATGAGGGTGTGGGTGGAACTTCTCTTAGGCTGCAGGAGAACACGATCCGCTCAAGGGTCTTGACTTCATTTCTATAACATGGAGAACCCGAAGACGATATGTTGGGACTTCAGGCCTTCCAGAAAGGGAATTCCCATTACCTTAGCAGATTGGTCATGTTTGATGGAACAGAGCTTCTGCGTAACAGTTCTGTTGTTTGGATTTATACATATTTGGAGGACAGGAGTCCTTGGCCCGTCGATCTGGGGCTGGGGTTGCAGTGGTGTATCTGCTGCCTGGGCACCCGCTGACCTTCCCAAGTTCAGAAGCCGGGTATTCTCGTGCTCAGCCTCCCATGTGAGCTGGGATGTTTTTTTTTTTTTAACAGGTGCGGCACCACCAGCGTCCTGGCGTAATTTTGTATTTTGAGTAGAGAGCAGCGGGTTTCCACCATTTTGGACCCAGGGCTGTCGTCACCCTAACCTCAATTGATCCACCCCCACCCTCAGTCCTGCCAGAGTGGCTAGGATTACAAGCCATCAGCCCCGTGGTCTGGCTCCTTGATGTAAAGGTTTAATTGAATTTAGGGAAATATTTTCAAGTGTATACCCTTATAATATTGAATTATCGCTTTGCTTTACTGAAAAGTGACTTCTTGTTTTACAAGCCTGAATATAATAGGTTAAGGTTATAGGTGTTATAACTCTTTTTTTTTTTTTTTTTTTTTTTGAAGTTCAACCCAGGGCTGGGGTATAGTGGCCGTCTCTTGCTCACGGCACACCTCTCCTCCTGGGTTTCAAGCGATTTTCCGGCCGCATCTTCTGAGTAGCCTGGGATCTACAGGGCACACACCACCCCATGCCCCAGCTATTTTGTATTCTTTAGTGGAACAGGGGGTTTCATCCATGTTGGCCCAGCTGTTTCAGCTTGTTTCAAACTCCTGACCTCAAGTGATCCACCTGCCTCAGCCTGCCAAAGTGTTGGGATTATGGGCGTGAGCCACCGCGCCCTGCTCATAGGTTATAATTCTTAACCTAGAGGTAAAATGTATTCTGATGAGAATTCTTAAATGCTTATGAGTGTTTTTTAACTTACCTCTGTGATTCTTCTGAGACTTACTAATGTGTTTTTAAATGGGATTACTTGTTTGAAAACAAAACTAGCTATTTTTTTCCTCCAATTTTTTGGTTCTGGATGATGATTAGTATTTCATTTTATTTTATTCATATATTTATTTATTTATTTATTTTTTTTTTTTTTTTTTTTTGAGACAGAGTCTCGCTTAGTCGCCCAGGCTGGAGTGCAGTGGCGCGATCTCGGCTCACTGCAAGCTCCGCCTCCCGGGTTCACGCCATTCTCCTGCCTCAGCCTCCCGAGTAGCTGGGACTACAGGCGCCCGCCGCCTCGCCCGGCTAATTTTTTGCATTTTTAGTAGAGACGGGGTTTAACCGTGTTAGCCAGGATGGTCTCGATCTCCTGACCTCGTGATCCGCCCGTCTCGGCCTCCCAAAGTGCTGGGATTACAGGCGTGAGCCACCGCGCCCGGCCGTATTTATTTTTTTGAGACAGAATTTTCACTCTTGTTGCCTAGGATAGAGTGCAGTGGCACAATCTCAGCTCACTGCAACCTCCACCTCCTGGATTTAGGCGATTCTCCTCCCTCAGTCTCCCTGGTAGCTGGGATTACAGGCACACGCCACCATGCCCAACTAAGTTTTTTGCGTTTTTAGTATAGAGAGGGTTTCTCCATGTTGGGCAGGCTGGTCTCTTACTCCTGACCTCAGATGATCTGCCCACCTTGGCCTCCCAAAGTTCTGGGATTACAGGCGTGATCTGGCCTAGTATTTCATTTTAAAGGATAATTTTTATATATTCCCAAATTTGTTGAGACTGTTAAAAGAGAAATGTATGTCCTTAAAAGAAATATAGGCCGAGCATAGTGGCTCACAACTGTAATCCCAGCACTTTGGGAGGCTGAGGTGGGCAGATCATGAGGTTAGGAGTTTGAGACCAGCCTGACCATCATAGTGAAACCCTGTCTCTACTAAAAATACAAAAATTAGCCAGGCATGGTGGTGCACACCTGTGATCCTGGCAACTTGGGAGGCTGAGGCAGGAGAATTGCCTGAATCCAGGAGGCAGAGGTTGCAGTGAGCTGAGATTGCACCACAGAACTCCAGCCTGGGTGTCAGAGCAAGGCTCCGTCTCGGAAAAAAAAAAGAAATATATATAACCTTTCTATAACATATATATATGGAGGGTGTTTTGTTTTGTTTTGTTTTTGTTTTTGAGACAAAGCCTCCCTCTGTCTCCTGGGCTGGAGTTCAGTGGCAGCATCATAGCTCACTGTACCCTTGACCTTTTGGGCTCAAGTGATCCAGTGATCTTCCCACCTCAGCCTCCTGAGTAGCTGGGACTACAGGCACATGTCACCACACTCGGCTAATTTTTTTTAATCTCTTTAATTTCTGTAGAGACAGGGCCTCACTATAAGCCCAGGCTGGTCTTTAACTCCTGGGCTCAAGCAATCCTTCCTTCTCAGCCTCCCAAAGTGCTGAGATTACAGGTGTCAGCCACCACATCTGGCGAAAACATATTTTTTTATTACTATATTTAATGACTTTACCCTTTTATGTTTAACCAAACACTTCTCAAACTTACTGAAAAAGTATATGGTTTCTGTTACTTTAAATGCCAAATATGTACATATATTCTGCCAAATAGTCTTGAAATCCTTGTATATACTTAAATTAGGTAAGGTAAATCAATGGCTTTCTTTTTTTGTTGTTTGTTTTGTTTTTGGGGGGTTTTGTTTTTTGTTTTTGAGACAGGGCCTCATTCTGTTGCCTGGGTTGGAGTGCAGTGGCATGATAATAGCTCACTTGCAGCCTTACATTTCTGGGCTCAAGCGATCCTCCTGCCTCTGCCTCTCAAGTAGCTGGGATTACAGGTGCATACCACCACGCTTGGTTAATTTTTTGTTTTGATTTGGTTTTTTTGTTTTTTGTTTTTTTGTTTTTTTGTTTTTTGAGACAGGGTCTTGCTGTCGCCCAGGATGGAGTGCAGTGGCATGATCTCAGCTCACCTCAACCTCTGCCTCCCAGGTTCAAGCAATTCTTGTGCCTCAGTCTCCTGAATAACTGGCACTACAGGCGTGCACCCCTACGCCCGGCTAATTTTTGTATTTTTAGCAGATACGGGGTTTCACCATGTTGGCCAGACTGGTCTTGAACTCCTGACCTCTGGCAGTCCCCCTGCCTTCGTCTCCCAGAGTGCTAGGATTACAGTTGTGAGCCACTGTGCCCGACCAATTTTTTGTATTTTTTGTAGAGACATGGTCTCACTCTGTTGCCCTGGCTAGTCTTGAACTCCCAGCCTCAAGCCCTCCTCCTACCTTGACCGCCCTATGGCTGGCATTACAGGCGTGAGTCACCACACTTGCCATCATTTGCTTTCTAGTTAAATAATGTAATTGTTCCTTTTCCATTCTCCTTCAGATTAAACAGTTACAAGTGCATTACAGACACACTTCAAGAACTGGTAAATCAAAGTAAGGCCGCTCCTCAGTCTCCCAGTGTACCCAAAAAACCTGGTCCTCCAGTATTGTCATCTGATCCAAATATGCTGAGTAATGAAGAAGCAGGACATCATGTAAGGGACATAGTATATTTTCATTCTGAGAATACACTGTTTAGAAGTTCTGCATGGTAATGGTGGCACAGTCATCTTGGGGAAAGGTAGTAGTTCTTAGAAGTTATCATGTAAGGATTCTTGATTTCTTACTGGAGTTTATAGGTCTAAAGGGTTGTGATGCCCAGAAACAGAGCCTTTAACTGCTAATTTTTACTATTTTCTTTATTTTAGTTTGAACAAATGCTTAAATTGTCACAGCGATCCAAGGATGAGCTCTTTAGTATTGCCCTTTATAATTGGCTAATACAAGCTGACCTTGCAGATAAGCTGCTACAGGTAAATCTTTTTTTTATTGCAGTTGTGTTAATTATTCTTAAGGAGCATAACTCAATGATTTGAGCACGTACATAGATGTAAAAAATTCAGTTTCTCATCCCATGTCTACTATTAGATGTTAGTATAAAGCTGAGTAATGCAATATCTTTTCCTAAGGGGCAAAGTAGGCTACTGCTCCAATTTTCTTGTTATTTCGAAGCTGATTGGGATAGTTTATATTGCAGGGTAGAAATCACTGGATTATGAATTATGAGTCCCGTAGGTCATCTTAACTCTGCCGTTAAGTCACTATGTGACTTCAGATACGTCCTTTTACCTACCCTGTCTCAGTGTTCCTCAGTCTATTTAATGAATACACAGCATTTGATAATTTCAATAATGCCTTTGAGCTCAGTGTCTAGGAATCGATAGCTGTGTTATCAAAGTTTATTTTAAAATGTGTAATTTTGTAGTAAATTTCCTTTTTTTTTTTTTGAAATGGAGTCTGACTCTGTCGCCCAGGCTGGAGTGCAGTGGCACGATCTTGGCTCACTGCAACTTCCGCCTCCTGGGTTCAAGCGATCCTCCTGCCTCAGCCTCCCAAGTAGCTGGGATTACAGGTGCCCACCACCACGCACGGCTAATTTTTATATCTTTTTAGTAGAGACAGGGTTTCACCATGTTGGCCAGGCTGGTCTCAAACTCCTGAGCTCAGGTGATCTGCCTGCCTTAGCCTCCCAAGATGCTGGGATTGCAGTTATGAACCACCGTGCCCAGCCAAATTTCCTTTTCTTTTTTGAGGCAGGGTCTCAATCTGTAGCTTAGGCTGGAGTACAGTGCAATGGCATGATAATGGCTCACTGTAGCCTCGACCTCCCTAGACTCAGGTGATTCTCCCACCTCAATCTCTTGAGTAACTAGAACTGTAGGCCCGCACCACCACACCCAGCTAATTTTTTTGTAGAGACATGGTTTTGCCATATATTGCCCAGGCTGGTCTTGAACTCCTGAGCTCGTGTGATCTGCCCACCTCGGCCTCCCAAAGTGCTTTTTATTTATTATTATTATACTTAAGTTGTAGCTGTGAATGTGCTAACGTGCAGGGTAGATAGTATCTAGTCATATGTGCCATGTTGGGTGCTGTCACCATCAAAGCGGATGGTGTTACGATCAGGGCATAATCCCAGAGTGCAATCCGCTCGCCCACTCCCCGTGCCAAATGACTGTTTTGTGTGTGTGATTTTCCCTTCCCTGGTTTCCATGTGGTTTCTTC